TTAGGGAAGGTTTAGGGTTTAGGGGTTGTGATTGGTTGGATTTTAAGGTTAGGGAGGGTTTAGGGTTTAGGGGTTGGGATTAGGTCAAGGTCGGTCAAACATCTATAAGGAGTCTGGGGTGCATGTTTGCTTAAGGTCGGGCGGTACATGGGATCTTACACAGGAAAGTGCAGGAAGTCAACGAGAGTCGCCCAACAAACGTGGCCAGAGCTTTCAGTGTACTCCTAAACCCTCAGACCCTATAAACCCTAAACCCTAAAGCCCTATAAAGCCTAAACCCTAAGCCCAAACCCTAAACCCTGTATTAAACCCTAAACCCTAAAGCCCTATAAAGCCTAAGCCTAAACCCTAAACCCTGTATTAAACCCTGTATACAGAGTCTTCGTTTTTGCGGGTCTCTGTTCGGGTCGCATCGGTCTGCTGCAGGAAACCGGGATCTCACTGCCTGCCGGATCCTGCTTGGCAAAAGAAGTTTAGGGTTTAGGGTTTAGGGTTTAGGTTTAGGGTTTAGGGATTAGGGTTTAGGGTTTAGGGAGCCCTGAACTCCTCCCCTCCGACCCTAAACCCTAAATCCATGAACCCTAAACCCCAAAGCCCTAAACCCCATAACCCCAAAACCCGATAAGCCCTCAGCTCTACGTTCCAAGCCCATCGCAAGACTCTGCCCGGGCTCAGGAAATCTTCCCAGACCCCGGCGGGAGGATTAAAAAGTAATTACTGTAGGGTCCCTAATTTGGGAACCCTATCTACTACAGGGTACTTTATGGGAACCTCCTTCAGGGAACCCTTCAACGGACCGATGCCCCCTAAACCCTGTAAAACGAACCCTTCAGAGATTCCCTATGATTCCCTAAACCAGATAAACCCTAAACCTCTTGAGGTTCCTTTAACAATCTACTTGTTGGATCCTCCCGCAGCCCAGGATGTCTTCGGAGGGAGGATGCGACCGCGCTGTGAGAACGTGGTGCTTGGCTTTCGGAGGCCGAAGCCTTGAAGCGAAGGACAGGCGATTACGAAATACATATATATATATATATACATATATATATATATACATATATACATAATATATATATATATATATATAGGTACATATATATATATATATATATGCAATCACACACATATATATATATATAGGTATACATATGTATATATATATATATACATATGCATATTTCTGGAAATATAACAGAGTATACCTATATTATACATATGTATATATATATATAATCATGTTATACTAGAACATAATCTAGTATATATATATATACACACCCACACAATATATCATTATAAGTCATACTGTATTTGCCTTCACAGGGGCTTCCCGTCCCCCAGCTGCAGCATGAGAGCTGTATGCAAACCCACGAGCGAAGCTTTGACCTTCTGCGCCGTAGCCATCTTTGGAGTACAGAACTGACAGGGTTTCTTGCGTAGTGCTTTCCGGGAGTACCCCGAAGACCATGTTGGCAGCGAAGTTCTTGGGCTTCGCGTTCCTTGTTCGTGTGACCCGGGCCGCACCGCTGTCGCTGACTATTCTCCACACCAATGATCACCACTCTCACCTGGAGGCCAACCGTGTGGAAATTGAGGCCAGCAAGATCGCCGGGCTTTCCGCGCAGGCTTCCAGCAACGCCATCAACGTCGAGTTGGGCGGCTACCCGCGGATCGTCTCCGGCTACGCGAAGCTGAAGATCGATGCAGAGACGGCAGGGCGCTCAGTGCTGAAGCTCCACGCCGGCGACGCCATCACAGGCACAGCCTACTACTCCATGTTCAAAGGCGAGGCCGATGCGAAGATGATGTCCCTCGTGTGCTTCGATGCCTTCACGCCGGGGAACCACGAGTTCGACGATGGAGACCAGGCCCTTGCCAACTTCATCGACAAGCTCCAGACCGTCAACGCATCCTGTGCCACTCCGGTGGTGGCTGCGAACGTCGTCCCGGCGGCCACGTCGCCGCTCGTCGGCAAGCTCAGCAAGTCCGTGATACTCTCTGTCGGTGGCCAGCAGGTGGGCATCGTCGGCATTGATGTTCGCAACAAGACTTTGCGCTCCTCCTCGCCAAGCGCCGGAACGACCCTCACCGACGAGCGGACCGCCGCCCAGGCAGAGATTGACATGCTGCTGGGCCAGAGCATAGACAAGATCGTGTTGGTTACGCACATGGGCTACGACAGCGACATGTCTCTCATGGCCTCTCTGCGTGGAGTGGATGTTGTGATTGGCGGCGACTCTCACAGCCTTCTGGGCGACAACACAACCCGCGAGGTCGATTTCAGCCCCATCCACGGCGAGTATGCTACGGTGATGCGCAATGCTGATGGGAAAATGGTCTGTGTAGTCCAGGCGTGGGAATACAACAAGGCGATCGGCGAGCTGGAGGTGGACTTCGACACCAGCGGTGATGTGCTGCACTGTGGGGGCCAGCCGCGCTTCCCATATGCCTCGCAGATTCAGTCGGGAAGGAGGCGCAGTAGCCAGGCTTTTGTCATCAATTCGTCGGACACAGCCAGTGTGATGAGTTACCTCGATGCGACGGGCCAGTTCATATTGGTTGAAGACGATGCGCACACGGCTGCCGAGCTCTCCAGCTACCAGACGCAAGTGGAGGCTTTGAAGCAGGAGACGATCGCCTATGCGCCGAGCAAAATTTGCTTCGACCGCTGGCCTGGACAGGGCGCGGGCAGCTGCCCCATTGCGGAGACGCAGGAGCAGGGCGGCGGGGCATGCCAGCTGGTGGCCCAAGCCTTCTTGGAGGTGACGAAGGCTGCCGACGTCGCCATTCAGAATGGCGGAGGCTGTCGCACGGACATCGCAGCTGGCAACTTCAGCCACAACGATGCCTACACCATGCTGCCCTTTTCCAACACACTCGTGACCTTGGAGCTCACAGGCGCGCAAATCAAAGCTGTCCTGGAGGACGCCGCAGATTTTGGCATCACCGATTCTTCTGGCGCCTTCCCTTATGCCGCAGGCCTGCGATACGACGTGAACAGAAACGAGACCAAGGGCAACCGCATCACCTTCGTCGAGGTCCGGCCGCGGCTCACTGGTGGCTGGATGCCCATCGATAACAGTGCGACCTATGTGGTTGTCACCAACAGCTACATCGCAGGAGGCAGGGACGGTTATACCACCTTCACGGAGGCATCCGGTAGCCTGAGGAACACGTACATCGAGTATGCAGAGGGCTTCGCCCGCTACTGCAAGGAAGTGGGAACTTTGGTAGAGCCGCCGCGCGAAGATTTCTCTACCCAAGGTTACCCAGAGACTCCAATATCCCTTAGTTAAGCAATATACTTTAAATCATATTAGGGATCCTAGTATAATTTAAGGTACATTCCTTCTACCCAAGGTTACATCGATGCCGCTGGGCAGGTGCAGGGCCTTGGTGCTCGGAGCACGACCACAACCACTGCGACTCGGTGGCACTTTTGGGGGACGGTTCTCATTACTTTTTGCTTTTTTTCTTTCTATGGCTCCTGCAGCGGTGCGTCTGAATATATATATATATATATATATACACACTCTGAAGGGCCCCTTGATGCCCTTTATGGCTCCTTTGGAGGTACCTATATTGATAAAAACCAAAACTAATTACACCCCTAAACCCTAAACCCTAAACCCTAAACCCTACAACCAAGGCGACGGAGCTTCCAGGCCAGGAGACGAGCAGCTCCTGGGGAAGCGGCATCGGAGGTCTTCCGCTCCTGGGAGCCGCGGCGGTGCTGGGCTTTCTCTGCACCTCTGAGGCGTAGACGTCCTCAGAGACTCCAATATCCCTTAATTAAGGAATATACCTTAAGTCATATTCGGGATCCTACTATGATTTGGGATGGTATATTCCTTCATTAAGGGGGTATTGGAGTCCCTGGGATCCGGACGCGGAGACCCTGTCAGGACAGTTTTGTGAGTTTTGTTCGTCGACCCGGAGTCTGAGGTCTTCGCCGATGTGTTTGGAATAGGGTTTGGGGGTGCCTTATTCTGATGAGAGTATAATATACCCCGAAACCCGAAGGTTTTGGGGGTTCCGTACTATGACTATGGTATAATATACCCCAAAACCCTATTCTATTCCGTACTATGACTATAGTATAATATACCCCAAAACCCTATTCAAGTTATTGAGGCCTTCGCCGATGCGTAGCGGGCCGCGGCGAGTCTCGGATTGTCGGGCTCGGCCCTCCGGGGGAGCCTGGTCTCCGGACGGACTCTGGGCCTTTCGGAACAGTAGGAGGCCTTCACCAAAGCATGTTGAGGATGTCATACATCGTATAGATTGCCTTGTGTAGTCACTAGTTTACTATTATATATCTATATATACGCACATATACATACATATATGTATATATATATATATATATATATATATATATATCAGCCAGAGTCCCGAGAAGTGCTGCCTAGAAGTGTTACTTATCCTCAAGATGCCGTGGATGAAGCTTGCCGTTGCTGTGCTTGCCCTCCGTGCAAGCACAGGGTCACGAGAAGCGGAGATTTTCCATCTTGAAGTTGTGAGGCAGCTCTTCCTCGCCCTAGGGCCGTTGTGGGCTTTAGGGTTTAGGGTCTAGGGCCCTCAACCCTAAACCATGAAACGGGTGAGGCTTGAATTAGCTTTCTTCCCACGTCCGCATCGGCAAGCGGAGGTCTGCCGCACAGGAAACTCAAAGATTTGAATTTGCCGACACCCGCTACCAGAGCATGGGCAGAGAACCGGACGGTTGCCCGAAGGACCGAACATCAATCACTATTGGGTGATGAGTTGGCTGCCGCTGTGGGTGTTTGGAGGTCCGAGGGGATGTGGGTGCGCTACCCTGAACGACCCCAGGACCCCGGCACTTTCTCATGCGCATGTACTTCTAGCGCTCTGTGTGTACGTACTTATGGTAGATGGTACCTGATAATGATACCGATGATATTAGCAATAATGATCACAAAAACAATAGTAATAATAGTCATCATAACCCCTAAACTCTAAACCCTAAAACCCTAGACCCGAGACCCTAAACCCTAAATCCTGCAAGCTTACTATGTCTGGGCCGACCTCCTAACTCCTAAGCGCCGATCTCTTGTGCCTGCGGACCATGGGCTTTGCCCTGAGAATCAGGGCCTCCCGTGTCGCAGCCCTTGCTGGGTCATTGCCAGCGTCGCCGAGGATTCGGGGTTCGGGTTTAGCGTTAAGGGCTGAGGGTTCAAAGCCCACAGGAGTTCTGAGATGTTCTTATCATGGTCGTTGCTTTGTTTGCTTAGCAATGACCCAGCTTCACCTGCAGCAGAGCAGCTTTTTCCAACCGCTAAAGTTCCGCTAAAGTTCAGAAAAGGGCAGGAGACTTGATTTGATGTTGCAGTTCTCAAGGGACGCTTCCATGCGGAGGCATGCGATTGTGTCATTTTCTGATGCTGAAACCCTGAACCCTCAACCCTAAACCCTAACCCCAAAAACCCTACACCCTAATCCCTGAACCCTAAGCCCTAAAGCCTAAACCCCAAACCCTAAACCTAACCCCAAAAACCCTACACCCTAAACCCTGAACCCTAAACCCTCGACCCTAAACCCTAAGCCCTGAACTCGAAAGCCTGAACCCTTAAGCCGAAGAGAATGGCAGACTCCTCGTTTGGTCGGTGGAGAGCGGCGAGCTGGCCCAAGAGATCCAGGCCCCGGGGCACGTTGAGACATTTGGTTTAGGGTTTCCGGTATAGCGGTTCAGGAAGGGATCAGGGGAGGGAGGAAATGGGAGCTGAGACATTTGGGGGTGGGAGCTGGGTGGAGGCAGGGCCGGTGGGCAAGCTCAGTTAAATGATGGTTCGGCGCAAGAGCCCGGTCAGACGTGCACATGCCAGGAAATTCAATGCGCAGCCCCGACGCTCCGCCGCATGGAAAATGCGAGCTGCAGAGCTGCTGTTGACAGAGGGTTTGAGGAGGTTTTGCGATGAGCTCACGGATTCACATTGCTCGAACATGCACTGCTCGACCTTGTTTTGCACGTGTGACTTCGATAGACCCTAGCAGCAGAACTGCATCTTCAATTTAGATGGGGTGCATGCCCTGCCTCTTCGGATCGATTTTAAGATTCTTTATCCTCGTTTTTTCAGTAGCTTGTCAGCTTTTTCGCGCCAGCCCTGACCGCCGTCAGTGTGCCATATCGCTGTCCTTCAGCGTGGGTTGCGGGCATCAGGTCGAATGGATTGTGAAGCTCTGTGCTTCTCAAGAAGCTGCCTCCATCTGCTGTGCCCACTCAGAAAACTTCCCCTCCTGCCTTTGGGCCCCCGTGGCACTGCGAACTTCGAAGTGCAGCCGGCTCTGGTTCTGTGCTATCTTGCTCGAGTGTGCGCCACAGCTTCGCGTGCCTGCTTCCGTCGTCCTCTTTCCGAGCGTCCGCCCTTGAGCCATGGCGTTGCATGTCGGAGGTCCCGCTTGTGCTGCCCTCTATCTCTGGGCTCAAAGCATATCTCAAGGTGCAATGCTCTTGAATGCGCACTGGTTTTTTTGCAAGTCTATATTGTCTTTCAACGTGTTCTGGTCTAGTTCAATTTAAAATCGTACAGAATGTCACTACGGAGGAGTGAGAAAAAACAGCAACCCGTCGGTCCTTTAGCCGGGACGCAGATTCTTGTAAAAAACATAGGTTTTCTTACAAACCATAGGTTTTAGGCTTTTAAACAGCCTATGATTAGGAGGGTGACGCGTTGGCAGAAGATCGCGCCATGCTGGTCAAGGTCCTGGCGCCGACACTCCTCGAGCGGAAGTGGAGGCATGGATGGGCTATCACAATATAGCAAAACTATACACTGCACAATACATGCGCTGTGCACCACAGGACAGCTGGATAAAGGGGTGATATGGGGAGTGGTTACGGCCAGGTTGTCCTTGGAATTTCAGGTTGCCCGAAATCTTAATGGCCCCGCACGCAAAGAGCCTCAAAGGTTTGTTTTCGCCGCGGTATTCAACCTCGTCATGTTGCACTCCGATCATACCCTAGCGGGCTATACATATATATATATATATATATATTTAAGAGCCTCCGGCTCAGGCCGCCGACCCCGTGGGCGACAGACCAAAAGCCGAATCCCTAAACCACCCCCAAGACCTAAGCT